AGCACAGCTGGGTGGAATCAGTTCTGAGGGGCACGTCCTGAAGAAGCCTCCACGCTTGCTCATGGCAGGGGCTCAGGATGGAGACCAGAGGGTGGGCCAGTCCAGCCCGGGAGCTGGCACGCTGCGGGCACCCGTCCAGGCGAGCATAAACGATGGACTGGGCGGACCAGCGGATGAGGGGGCGTGCCCTCTGGGCGGGGCCAGTCGGGGGCGGAGCTCCATGGGGGCAGGTGGCTGCTCTGCCCCCTGCTGCCCCCCACCCCCGAGGATTACAAGGGTGCGTGAGACAACAACCCCAAAGTCCCAAGCATTTTAGGTCCCATGATTGGTCTAAAATCATAAAACACCAGCATTGCTCTTACTCCCAAGTCATCCTCAGGTAACATGCAAGGTAAAAAGGCTGGTGGGGTGTTAATTAAGACAAGATGCCTCTCCATACCATGTCCCAGGTCTGATCCCAGCACTCACGTGGAGAACCTGGCCGTGGCAATAATGATCATGGTGAACTGGTTCTGACACCTAGGTCCCTGTGCCTATCTGCTCTTGGCTAGCCACGTGCCCTTGGCAGATAACTTCACCTCTTAGAACCATGGCCCTTCACCTGGGGAGAAGACTGGCAGTGTCACTCCCTGCGCCCTGCCCCTTCCGTCCCCTGTCCTCTCTCGGCCTTTGGGCATGCCCCGGCTTTCTGCAGGACTCTGCGGCTCCAATATCCTTGGCCCAAGGACACGGAGTTTTTGCTGTGCTCCTGGGTGAAGAACTGCTGAAAGGGGTGGGCCTTCCCATGGCCGTCCAGTGGGGGTGGGGGGGTGGCAGAGAGCCAGGGCAGCACCTGCAGGGGGCTGGAGCATGCCACCTGCTGTCGCCAGAGAAGGAACTCATAAATATTTAAACCTACTGGACCAGGAGGGAGCCAGGCTGCTGCTCCGTGTCATTGGAGCATTCCCGTCTCCTGGTGACACAGAGGCAGCCTGGGAACCAGACAGGGCCCCAGAGAGGAGAGCTCGGCCAGCCCAGCCCAGGTGAGTGTGTCTCCCTCTGCCCTCTAGCACAAGGACCACTATCACCAAAGCTGGACTGCCGGGGATGCCCACAGCCGGTTCCCCTTGTGCAGGATGAAGAGCCGGGAGCCCGGTTTGCAGCCAGCATCTGCATTTCTGTGGCTTCTATTGGCCAGGGGCAGGAGTGGACAGGGTGGGCTGAAAGGGGCCTGCCTTTCCTTTATGCCTGGGATTGTCACCACCAGGGGCCGAGAAGGAGGGCGTTCAGGACTCAGTCCTATCTGAGGTGCTGCTGAGCAGTGTGACCTTGAGCATACCCCTGCCCTCTCTGAGACCTTGGCCCAGCCGCACAGACTTTCAGTCTGGAACCGGAGTTTGGAAGCTCAGCTGCACTGGGTCTTCCTCCAATCCTCAGGGTCACCAGCTGCCTGCAGGCCCCCTTCACGGGCCCTAGGCACACACCTGGCTGGGGCCCTGGTGGGTCCCTGGGATGGAAATGATGACAATCCTAGTGATCGTGGCAGCCCTTGCTCAGTGAGTGCTTGCTCTGTGCCACCCCATACTGAGCACTTTCCTTGTGGGGTCAGAGGATCCTAACTGCCTTGCCTGGGGCACGGAGCAGTCAGACCTGGAGACTCGTGAACACGGTGCTCACACGCGGGCTCTCACACATGTGTGCCTCCCTGTATGGCTCTCAATCCATGTGGCTGTCAGATATGGTCACCCAGGGGCTCTTGAGCCTGTGGCTCTCGCGGAGGTGTTTTCTGTCTGGGTCATGTTCTCGCTCGCGCTGGCTGCTCTCACAGCACCGGATGGTGGGGTGGAGGGGGAAGGGGTCATGCATCCAGGTGCCAGGCTGGGAGGACTCAAGGATGCGTCCTACTCAGGCCTGCATGCCTCTGGGCACAAAGAGGGGCCCTGGTCCATTTTAATGACAATGATTAATCTGCGTCTATTGTCTCCTGGGCACGCAATATGCCATGCCCCTCTGCTCTCCACTCTTATCTCCCAAACTGGGCTCCTGACTGGCAGCCAGCCGCTCCAGGCCTCAGTTTCCCTGGACGCCTCTCTGCACCGCCTGTGCCAACGAATGCCCTTTGTACATACAAGGAGACCACGCCTCACAGGAGCTGAGGTGGGAGGGGAAAGGCTGCGGGGGCAGGGAGAGGGTCAGCCAGACTCCCCTCCTCCTAGCCACCAACCAGCCCACAAGGTCAGACCCTACTGTGTCCCCCGGGCAGAGCGCCAGGTCATGGGGCACACCCCAGCCCTGTCCCAGCCTTGCTGAGTGAGCCTGGGCAGGCCATGCCACCCGCCCATCTGTCAAATAGAGGTGGGTGGGGGTGAGTGGGGATGGGTGGGCCCTGCCTCGCAGCACAGGTGGGTGGAATCAGTTCTGAGGGGCACGTCCTGAAGAAGCCTCCATGCTTGCTCATGGCAGGGGCTCAGGATGGAGACCAGAGGGTGGGCCAGTCCAGCCCGGGTGCTGGCACGCCGCGGGTACCCGTCCAGGCGAGCATAAACGATGGACTGGGCGGACCAGCGGATGAGGGGGCGTGCCCTCTGGGCGGGGCCAGGCAGGGGGCGGAGCCTCCGTGGGGGCGGGGCAGCTGCTCTGCCCCCTGCTGCCCCGTCTGTCCTCCACGCACGCAAGGCCTCCGCCATCGCCTCGCAGCCTCCCAGGGCTCTGGAAGGCGCCCGGGTGAGTGGGACGGTGGGCACGGCGGGCTCGGGGCACGAGAAGGCATCTCACGCCACCCTCACCCATCCGTAGTGGGCGACGGAGGCCGCGGTGCCCTCCGTTGAGGCTGTGGCCTGCCCGGCCTCGGCCTCCCTTCCGGTGGGCCTCTCTCTCGTCTGAAGCACCACCACGCGGGCCAGGGGCCCCGCCCAGAAGACAAGGCCCATCCGGCCCAAGCTGGCACCTGCGGCTCGGACGGGGCAGCTAACACTCTGGGCGGGTGGCCGTGTGGTCCGCCTTGCCAGGCCGGCTTCTAGAACTCCCATTTTCGAGGCGAGGCGTGGGCTCCACGAGCGCCCAGGGGACTCCTGGCGAGTCCACAGGCCAGGCCTGAGGGTCCGCGCTGCAACTGGCAGGCCTACTTGGTCGTGAGAGAAAGCTTTATTAGTGACGATGTACAAGGGGGGACCCCCCCACTCACCAAAAAAAAAAATTTTAAGCTATATATTTAAATTTTAAAAAAGGAAAGAAAACCTTATCACTTTGCACTTATACATTGGTCAAATCTGCGATTCCATTCTTAGAAACATTTTTCAAACTTGATCTGATCTCCCTCTTGTTTCTCTTCACCTGTTCTACGCTGTCAAATCACTGTCCTTCCGTGTCCCTCTGCAACCCTAGAAACAAAAAGAAGTCGCACAGAGAGAGCTCAGGCGAGTAAGGTACGTGGGGCAAGAGAGGCTTGCTGTTTTTTGCCTAAAGCTGGCGCAGAGATGGCCGCGTGAGCAGATGCATTGTTGTAGTGGCAAAACCAGTCCCCCGTCTGCCATAAATCAGGCCTTTTTTGTTGCACACTGTTACACAATCTTTTCAGAACCTCTAAATAGAAAGCTTGATTAACAGTGTGACCTGGTGGAACGAACTCCAAGTGTGCTTTCCCCTCACATCAAAAATCAAATGAGCATTGTCGATCTTAGATTTCACCTGACTTTTTTTTTTTTTGACGAGGTGACAATGGCTTGATTAATGTTTGCGTTCAGGGTCATAAGAATAACACCATGTCTAATCACCCATCATGACTGTGGGAAAAACAGTCTGGGTTGCTTCGAGCTGTTCTGTCAAAGCACAGCATGTTTCCACTCAATGCTCTTTTTCCTGGTCAGTCAGAAGGTGAGGCACAAATCTCGCATTTGTGCCTTCTCACTCCCAAATCTTGTGTTAAAATTCGTTGAAACAAGCTCCAAGCTAGTCCAGATAACTTCCCCATCTCTTCAATGGTCCCATCATCAGTCTTTGAGCACAGGTGCATGAATTCCGTCGACATTTTCGTCCATTAGGGAAGTTTACAGACATCCAGAATGAGGTTTGTCATCAATCGGCATTTCAACTTTTTTGAAACAAGAAAATCACTCATACACTTGAGTTCTTCCCATAGCACTGTCCTTATAAGCTGTGTTCAACATCACAACAGTTTCTGCAGCATTTTTCCTGAACAGGAAACAAAATCTTACAGCCTCACACTGCTCTCTAAAATCAGCCATCACAAAAAATGAGGTTCAGGCTTTCCGAAAGGTTCAGCTGCTTTCCGAAAGGTTGGAGACAGAGGCGCAGAACAGAGATAGAATTTAGCCAGGAATGTGAAGTTGAGAAAGATTTTATTGAGGCAGGGAAAGAACTCCCGGGAGGGGAGGGAGGGCAAGGAAAGGAAGGGGGAGGGCATTTTGTGCCCCCAGGCGGGTTCTTCAACCCAACGAGTTAGGTCAGGGAAGCCGCACTTGGCAGCGAGACAATAGGACTTATATAGGGTATGAGCTTAAAGGCATATGAGCCGGTAAGGGGAAGGGACGTTCTTTGTGCTGAGGTTGCAAGTTTTGGGCCAGGTGACATCCTGTTAGTAAATCATGTTGTTCCTAGGAAACAATGCTAGGGAGAGGGGGGCTGTGTTCCGTCTGGGAAGGTAAGCTCTGTGAAACGAGGAAGGCAGGTGCTTTGAAATTCAGGTGCTTTAAAATTCAGACAGGTCATTTGTCTTCTCGAGAAGCTGGTACAAGGGGCTGCCTTGGTCCTGACCTGGCCCAAACACTTTCATGAAAAAATTCACTGTGACCAGAGAGAACCTTCCCAGGCAACACCACTGGGTGCACTAACTCTAAGAGAGTTGCTGATGCTCACCTAGTTGGGGTGGGGGGAGATACTACAAAAACTCAGCCAAGCAGAGCTTTTTCTGTCTTTGTGGGGGTACCCCCTCATATGATTACAGTGCATATTCGACCCTCTATAGTGTCTGCAAGGCTGTAGATCTTTATAGGAGCACATAGCCTCGTCGTTCTCCTGATTTTGAACCCCTGACCTTGAGGTCAACAGTCCAATACTTGTTTGTTTGTTTATGTTTTTGGTCTTTTAAAAATCATTTTATTGGGAGCTCTTCCAGATATCATAACATTCCATAGTTCAATCACATCAAGCAGTATTGTACAATTGCTACCACAATCAGTTTCAAAACATTTTCTTTTTTTCCTGAACTCCTTGATATCCCCTTTGTCCCCTCCCTCCCCCACCATGCCCCCTAGGAACCCTTCTTCTTCTTCTTTCTATATAGTATTTTTTTCTCCCAATCTTACACAATCCAGTATATCCATTCACATACAATTCTGTTGTTCAATCCCATTGAGTGGAGTTACACAATTACCAATGCTGTCAATTCCCCCGTCCCCACTTCCGTACCCTCATGGAACCATTACTCCTCTTACTGTTTCAGAAGGATTATCTATCTTGACTTTCATGTGTCGAACAATCTTATATATACAAATAAACATATGCAAATGTAACATACGTAATGAGGTACAACAAATAAAAACCATAATAGTAAGGGGAGAAAGTATTAAAGAACTAGAAGATAGTTATATGCAGACCACACCCTGAATTCATCATCCCTTCAGTGTGGTCCTTCTGAGAGGGACTGTCATCTTAAATAATATATTTGGCTGTCTTTTGTTGATTCAGAAAGTAATCCAAATCTCTTGCTCTCCAGTCAATTCTGACTTATCTCAACATCAGAACTGCCCTGTAGGTTGTTAAAGGCTGTGGTCTTTACTGAAGTAGACTGCCCATCTTTCTTCTACAGAGTGGCTGATGGGTTCGAAACACAAGCCTGTCAGCTCCTTAGAAAGTATTACGTTTACTTTTTGAAATGCAAACACTCCAGAAATGAATATAGAAAACGTTTTCTCCAATATGCCCATCTCCCTCTGCATAACAGGAAACCACTATGAAAAGTTAGAATAATCAATCCAGCTGTCGTGGAGTCAATGCCCATTACTGGCAGCCATGGGCTCCCTTGGATTTTCAATGGTTGCTTTCTCCAAAGTAGATCACCAGGCCTTTCTTCCGAAGAGCCTCTGGCTAGACTGGACTTGCCAACATTTCTGATAGCAACCATGCACTTTTAACCCAGGGACTCTAAAACCTAAGATATCGATCCCATTTTTCTTCCTGGCCTCACGCATATTATTTATATACATACATGTGGATTTGGAGGGCACTATTGTTCTGTGAATTCATCAAGGTGTGCCACGGGCTAGGCATCAGCTGCTAACGGAAAGATCACAGGTTTAAACCTGCCAGTGGACCTGGAGGAGACAGACCTAGCTGTCTACCCTCATAAAGGTGAGACGTCTCAGAAACCCCGAGGAGCAGCTCCGGGCTGTCTGACAGGGACAGTTGACTGAAGTTGAGCTGACAGTTGAGCTGGAGTTGACTGAAAGGTGGTGGGTTGGGTTGTTTTATTTTTTCTGTGGGTGTTTCTGAGGCAGCTCCCTTACCTCAGCCTTGGTTTTTGTTGTGTTGTTGCTGACTTTCTTGAAAGATCTGGGTTTTGTTTCTCTTCTTTTTTCCACTGTGGTCATAATATGCAGAAGACAATGTTGGAAACGACTCATTCGTATATGTATGATTCAGTGACGTCATTATAGTCTTCATGTTGTGCCAACTTTGCCGGTCCTCTTTTCCACCTTCCTTTACCACCGTCGACATCAACCCACTACCCTCCTATTTCCCATTTCCCTCTCCCGTCCACCTCGGTCACCGCCAAGATGAGCCTGATACCCTTTTGATGGACACTGAGGTTGTTTGTAATTCTTTTCTATTTCTGACCAAGCAGCGGTGAAACATCCTTCCATCTAAAATCTTTGTTTTTAAGTGAAAACGTTTGCATTTAGAATTAATGAGCCGGGCTCTTTTAGGGGAGCACAAAGCCTCATCTTTCTCCTGTGGAGCAGCTAGTGGTTTCAAACTGCCAAGCTTGTGGCTGTCAGCCCAACCCATAACCCACTAAGCCGCCAAGGCTCCTGTGGGTTACACATTTCTTTGCTCACTGTGAGGGCGGCAGTTCCAACCACTAGCTGCTGCAAAGAAGGAAGATGAGGCTTTCTGCTCCCAAGAGGATGAGTAGCTTTGGAAATGCACAGGGGCCGTTCTGCAGGGTCACTCTGAGTCAGAATCAATTGGATGACAGTGAGATTGGGGTTTTTGTTTGTGTCTTTGTTTGAGTTGGACTCCGTTTCAATGATCCCAATTTTGTTGGCAACATCCAAAGCAGTTCTGCCTGCTGGGGAATGCTGGAACGACCCAGGGGTGCTGTACAAGCAGATACCTAGACTGTGTCCTGGATTATGGGCTATAGTACCAAAGGTCTTAATTGCCAGGGGCTTAAGGAACTTTTTCTAAAAAACGGGGTGGTAGGCCAAATCTGCTTGGGAAGATATGATGTGATCTATGATAAGGCATCATAGGCAAGAGCCAGTTGAGCACATGCCTTCTCTCCCTCAGGGATCTTCTCTGGAGAAGGAATTTTTCCAGAGGAAGTATGTGGAGTCCTCCCTAAGCAAGTTGCTTCACTTCTGCGCCCCAGGGTCAGTGAGGCCGTGCTGATGTGCTTGTTCATGGGGCAGTAAGTGTCACCTCTCATGTGTGGCCTCAGGCCTCAAGCACAGTGCAGCATGCACCAGGACAGAAGTGGAAAGTTCTAGGCCCTGGTCTTACAGCACAGGGGAGCCCGAGGGCCCTCTGAGCCCAGCTCTCACGGACCCCACCCTTCCTCCTGAACTGCCTTCTCAGAGTTTGGGTAAGGTGACCAGACGTCCCGCTTTTGGCGGGACAGTCCCTTTTTTTGCGTTTTAAAAAAGTCCCGATTTTTGGGAAGAATGCACGACAAGCTAGGGAACGGTCTATTTGGTCCATATAGAACAAATTTTTAATCAAGAACACCCCCTCCCCCCCAGTCAATGGTATCCCACTTTAAATCTGGTCACCTTAATGTTTGGGGGAAGCTGGAAGGTCCTCTGAGCCCCCTCTCTCCGGGACCCATCCCTTAGCCTGAACTGCACCCTCAAAAAGCATGTGTTGGTCTCCTGCTGATAGGGCCACCATCTTTAGGCACCCTTTCTAAAAGGACATCCAGTTAAGTGTGAATTTCAGATAAACGATGACTTTTTGTACATATATATATATATATTCTAAACAATATTTAGAACTTAATTGGTTTCCTGCCTCCTTTTCAGGAAGAAAAAATAGTATGCATCGTTCCCCAGCAATTAAAAACTTTGTACTATATCCCAGAATCTGGGATAAAATGTAGGTATCTGCTTTTGCAGCATAACTCCCCCCCCCCCCCACGATTGTTCTAGCGCCACCCCATGGGCAGTATCACACACATTGGCAAACACCGATTGAGAACATACTTATACTTTAAAAATATATAATTTATTTGAAATTCAAACTTACTTGGGCCACCTTTTCTGCTAAGAATGGACGAGGAGGTGGGCATGTGGTCAGCAACCAAGCCCTCACTGCCCATTTCTGAGCCTCAGTCTCCCCACCTGCCTTACAGGGGCCAATGAGGAGAGATGAGGGCCTTGGTGCCCATGGGCATAGAGACGGGTGGGGTAGGTGGGCCTTCTGAAAGTTGAGGGCTCACCCTGGGCAGCTTCTAGCCCCCTCCCTGTGGGCACTGGAGGCCCCAGGCCTGAGGAGGATGAATGCTGGGGGAGGGTCTTCTTTACCTTTTCCCTTAAAAACCATCTCATTAGAAAGCTCCAAAGAAAAGTGGAACCAGGTAGGAAACCCTTCTCCCTGCCCCACTGCCTGCCCGGGTTTACCTACCATCTCTCTGTATGCCGGTCTCTCTCCACGGTGTGTCTCTCTGGGGCTCTGTCTACAACCCTGTCGCCGTCTTTCTCCGTGTTTCTGGCTCTGGGCCCGGCTGCGGGTGCTCCAGGTGAAGACAGGTCCCTGCATCTGGGCCGTGGGCTCTGATGCTCCCCTGTACCCTGCCCCCAGGTGCTGCAATGCCACTACCGAAGAAGCGCTGGGAGTCCATGGCCAAAGGGCTGGTGCTGGGCGCTCTCTTCACCAGCTTCCTGCTGCTGCTCTACTCCTATGCCGTGCCCCCGCTGCAGGCTGGCCTGGCTTCCACGTGAGTGCGCCTGCTGGGTGGCCCCTGGGGGGCTGTGGGGTAGAGGGAGGGGCTGCTTGGCCGCAGGCTAGGCTGTTGTTCCACTGTGAGCAAAACTCCCTGTGGAACTCAAGGCCTCACCGTTCCCTTCTCCTGTTCTCAGCGCCCTCCTCTGTGAAGTGGGGGTAATAACAGAGCCCGCCTCATGGAGAATGAGACTCCAACAGACTGAGGACCCAGGCTGGGGATCAGGGCTTCAGCCAGGGGGGTTGAGTGGGCAGTGACTCTCCAAGGTCCTGCAGTTGACACAGGGCCTGGATTCCTACTGGGGCCTGTTGGACTTTGAGGCAAGGTTCCTAACTATCAGGCTGCCCTACCTCTCACCTAGCAGGCCTGCCCACAGCCGAAGCCTTTACATTGTGGCTTTAAGTTGAAGGCAAAGAAATTGCTGATCACTGACGTTTGGGATGGGGAGACATTACAATTGCATGTGGTCCAACTTGACAGTTGTTCATAGCAAGTGTAGGTCGAGCTGACGTAACCCGAGGGTCTGCTGTACCCCATCTTGCTTCGATCTCATGCCAACTCCACCCCATTTCACAGATGAGGAAACTGAGGCCAGAGAAGCCAAAGCCTAGATCCGGGCCCCACAACGGGGGGTGCAGGTCTGCCCGGCTACCCCGTTCTGCACATAATAGGATGTGGGCTGGTGGGGCAGGTTGGCTGGGGGTGGGGAGGACCCCCCCCCCCCAGTCCCGCAGCCCCCTGAGGCTCCCATTCTTCTCTGTCACACCCCCGTCCCCCCACCCCCAGAACCCCAGAGGCCGCAGCACCCTGCTCCCCGGCCGGGGACGAGCCGGAGGCAGCGACTGCCACCAACGGCTCTGCGGGCGGGTGCCAGCCACGGCGGAACATCGTGTTCATGAAGACCCACAAGACGGCCAGCAGCACGCTGCTCAACATCCTGTTCCGCTTCGGCCAGAAGCACGGGCTCAAGTTCGCCTTCCCCAGCGGGCGCAACGACTTCGACTACCCGGCCTTCTTCGCCCGCAGCCTGGTGCAGGACTACCGGCCGGGCGCCTGCTTCAACATCATCTGCAACCACATGCGCTTCCACTACGACGAAGTGCGCAGCCTGGTGCCGCCCAACGCCACCTTCATCACGGTGCTGCGCGACCCGGCGCGCCTGTTCGAGTCCTCCTTCCACTACTTCGGGCCTGTGGTGCCGCTCACCTGGAAGCTCCCGGGCCGGGACAAGCTGGCCGAGTTCCTGCAGGACCCGGGCCGCTACTACGACCCCCGCGGCTACAACGCGCACTACCTCCGCAACCTGCTCTTCTTCGACCTGGGCTACGACAGCAGCCTGGACCCCGGCAGCCCGCGCGTGCGCGAGCACATCCTGGAGGTGGAGCGGCGCTTCCAGCTGGTGCTGCTGCAGGAGTACTTCGACGAGTCGCTGGTGCTGCTCAAGGACCTGCTCTGCTGGGAGCTGGAGGACGTGCTCTACTTCAAGCTCAACGCGCGCCGCGCCGCCGCCGGGCCGCGCCTCACCGGCGACCTCTACCGGCGGGCCACCGCCTGGAACCGGCTGGACGCGCGCCTCTACCGCCACTTCAACGCCTCCTTCTGGCGCAAGGTGGAGGCCTTCGGGCGCGAGCGCATGGCCCGCGAGGTGGCCGCCCTGCGGCGGGCCAACGAGCGCATGCGGCGCATCTGCATCGACGGCGGCCAGGCGGTGGACGCCGCCGCCATCCAGGACTCGGCCCTGCAGCCCTGGCAGCCGCTGGGCGCCAAGCCCATCCTGGGCTACAACCTCAAGAAGAGCATCGGGCGGCGGCACGCGCAGCTCTGCCGCCGCATGCTGACGCCCGAGATCCAGTACCTGATGGACCTCGGCGTCAACCTGTGGGTCACCAAGCTCTGGAAGTTCATCAGGGATTTCCTGCGGTGGTGACCGCACCCCGCCGCGCCGGCCCCCAGGGCCCCTGCTGCTCACTGGCAGGGGAGGGGCTGGAACCAGTACCCACTGTCGCTGGCTGCCCTGCGTTCCTCCTTCTGCCCCCTCCGCCCCCCACCGCACACACACACCCGGGTGAGGTGGGGTTGCTGGGGAGACACGGGCCTAACCCAGATCAGTATTTGACTAATTACACCTTTTTTATTAAACCCTCCCTAAAAGCGAATGTTCTATTTCCTGGCTCCCCAGGAAAGGGGGAGACCCCAGAAGTAAAAGAATTCGATGTTGTGTTTTTGTTAATCGGCCTCAGTGGTGACTGGTGGGGCCCTGGGTGGGGGACCCCAAGAGTGCCTATCAGGGACTGTGTTTGCAAGACACAGGCAAGAGGTCTGTTACACGCAGAAGCCCAGGGACTCCTCAGGCTACAAGGACCTGGAAAATTGTGTGTGTGTGTGTGTGTGTGTGTGTCGCTCATCCTAAGGATCATAGCAACAGCTCATGCTGACTGAGAGCTGGTTAGGTACCCAGCATCATCTCATAAATCCCTACCCACATTCAGGGTGGTGGGAGCTGTTGCTATCTCATGTGAGTAGGGAAGGCCTCAGAGAGGGAAACTCACTTGACCAAGACCATCCAGCAGGTGCTAGGGTAGAGCAGGGGTGGTGGCTGGTCTGGTCAGGTCACATGATCCACATGGAGGGAGAGGACGGTGGGGAGCACACATGCTTCAGCCAGCCCCTCCAGGCTAAGGGGTTCTCACATGATCTCCTTTATCTCACAATAACCCTGCCAGGCAGGAACAATTACCTTTACACTCTATAGATGCGAGAACTGAGGCAGGGAAGATTGCCAAAGGGCAAGTCAGACTCGGGAACCAAACCATCTCCCAGGACTCCCAGCTCTCACCTGTCCCTACTTGGCTCCCCTCTTGGGTCTGAGCCAGCTTGATGCCTGTCCCACTGTTCCTGCACTCCCAACTCCCTACCCTGTCTGCCTCCCACACCTGCTTATGCTCCAATCTCTCCCAGACCCTGGGGCTCCCCACTTCATCCTGGGAGCCAGTTAATACATCGAAGGAGTGTTTCATTTTCACCCAACGTCTCTTCTGCCCCAGCCTGAGCCAGCCCCAAGCATACAGTCATCAACCAGGCACCCTGCCGTCCTGAGCTCATATTCGGAGGGGGGCCTTCCCGGTTCTACTTGACCTCCCCAGCATCCCAGGGGAACAGGAGTCTTGCCTGGGGCACAGGATCAGAAAGTGGCGTCCAGAACTGAAATGCCAATATGGCAAGCCACCTGACTCTTCACTGGACTGGTTTGAGCTCAGCTGTGTCAAGGGATGTGTCGTGTTTGTTGGCACCCGGTGTCAGGTGCTGCAGAGCCAGCTCCTCCTTGCAGCCATCCCACATGTGGCAGAAGTAAACACTACTCGGTCCTGGACCATCCTCTAAATTGTTGCTAGGCTTGAACCCATTACCGTACCGACTGGATCCATCAGTCTTTAGTTAAAGGTCTTTGTCTTTTTGTTGACCCTCTACCAAGGAAGACGTTCTTCTCCAGGGTGGTTCCCTCCTACTCCCATGACCAAAGTAGATGCCATCCTCACTTCTAAGGACCATTCTGGCTGTACTTCTTCCAAGACTGATTTGTTTGTTTTCTTTTAGCAGTCCATGATGCACCTCATACCCCCACTGAGTACCTACCCCATCCCTGTTTTATGGACCAGAGCTCAGAGCCCATATGTCCGATACCAATCTATAAATTCCTCTTTAGACTCATGCAACACATGCAATGACACCAAATGCAGAAGATCGTGGGCCAGTGGGTGGAAAGTTCTGTGGATCCAGTGGCCGTGGAAGGCTCTCAGTGCTGGCGTGGGTCTCCACATGGCTCCTCCAGCTCCAGGGCTCTGGCTCCATCAGTGTGTCTCCATGTGGCTGGTCAACAGGAATGTGTAGCAAAGAGTCCATGTGTATCTGGCCTCCAGTATTTATCTCCGTGGCACCTCCAAATGAGGTTATCAAGCTGCAGCCTGATTGACAAGCTAGACCCCCCCCACCCCTCTGCAAGTTGACACCAGATTATGTAACTACCACACGGGAATAAGCACATGGTCCAGGGAAGGTGACCAACTGCCCGAGTTTTCAAGAACTGTGCCTGTTTCCCAGAACTGTCCCAGTTTTAACATTGAAAACTCCACATCTGGGAAACTCCTTTGTCCCACTGGACTGACCCCCTGAGCCCCTGGAGTGACTGTCTGTACCTTCATAATTTTCCTTATAGCAAGAAATGAGCAAACTCACCTAGCCTTTGCCTGCTTGATGTGAAGAGAGAGAAGTCCCACCACTATTGAGTCAGTATTGACTCAACTGAGTCAACACTGACTCCCCACTGGGAGAACTAACTGCTCCATTGGATGTCCAAAGCTGTGACCTTTGGGAAGCAAGGTTCCAGGCCTTTCTTCCGGGCACTTCTAGTTTGTGTTTGAACTGCTAACCTTTTAGTTAGAAGCCAAGCACTTAACTGTTTGTGCCACCTGGTGAACCTCTGAGAAGAAGTAAGCAACAAAAAATAAAATCGAAAACAGCCAAGAATTCACAGGAGAGGGTAGTACTGACCATAATGTTGTGAGATTTATTTATTAGCCCACAATTTATTTATTTTCAAATTATTACTATTTTTTATAAATCATTTTATTGGGAACTCCTACAGATATTATAACTGTCCATGATTCAATTATATCAAGCATACTTGTACAATTGCTACCACCATCAGTTTCAAAACATTTTCTTTCTTCTTGAACTCATTGATATTGGTTCCCCTTTATTCCCTCCTTCCCCCACTTTACCCCCCCCAGGAACCCTTATTACTATATTATTTGTTTTTCTGTATCTTACACCATCCAATGTGCCCATTCACCTGCAATTCTGTTATTCATTCCCCTCAAGTGGGGTTATGCAGTCATTATTGCTGTCAGCTCCCTCTTCCCTCCTAGCCCATAATTTATCAATCCAAAGATAGCTATAACAGAATATGAGAACATATTAAATTGGAGTAATCCATAAGTCAATAACGATCCACTGGCAGTGATTTATAAGTACCTAAAAACACTCATGTAATATTAATGACAACAACAACAACAATAATGTGTTATTCTATTGCCACTTACTTTATTAGTCAGGATTTTTCTGCCAAAGAATAAAACTCAGACAGAAAATGCTAAATTAACGAGAGGCTTATTGAGAGCAAAACAACTTAAGTTGGAGAAATGGTGAATACTACAGGGCAAGACAGACCCTTCTGCTGAGGCAACGAGCAGCAAAGGTGTATAAAGGCAAATCCCACAGTCAGCTTGAGGTACAGCTCAAGCCAGCTTTGGCTGAGTTAGTCTGCAGGTGGCTGGAGTATAGCTAGACTCATCTTCATTGGTTGACACTTGGATTGGTTAGAACGAGGTAGTGGGAAATTACGAAATTTTATGAAGAGATCAGAAAGCTTCCCCACCCTACCCCCTTGTGAGAAGGCATATTAGTCTGGGCACTTTAGAGAAACAAATCCACAGAAACTCATGTATAAGAAAGAGTTTTATATAAAGGGTAAGTGCACATCAAGAAAACATCCCAACCCAGTGCTGCCCAAGCCCACACGTCCAACATTAACCCATTAACCCATATGTCCAATACCAAGTCACAAAGTCCTCCTCCATCTCATAAAACATGCAACGATGCCGACTGCAGGAGGAAAGCCGAGTCAGTGAATGTGTAAGCATCTCAGCACTGGCAGGCGTCTCCACGTGGGTGCTCCAGCACCCAGGGCTGCATCAGGGTAGGTCCATGTGGCTTCTCCTCAGGGATGTCTTGCAGGAAGTGAGCCTTGCCAGCTGAAGCAGGGAACTGACTAAGGCAGCTGCACCCTAGTCTGAGCATCAGAAAGCAAGAGAATCGAGAACTAGAAAGAAGAGGCTCACGGGGCCATTTATCCCGCCGCCCTTCAATTAACCCCACATGTGTTTATCGGCCAGGTTGGCACAATAAACTAACTACCTCAGAAGGAAATCAGAGGCTATCTGAGAATCACCCAACTACAAACTCTTCATCAGGTTCCTGAAACACACATGCAAGAAATCTACCAGTATACCTTGTGGCTACCACTCGCCTGTCAGTTTGCCATACTGTGATAACTTGCATGTTGTGATACTGGAAACTATGCCACTGGCATTTCCAATATCTGATTGGTCACCCAATCAGATTAGGTTTCTGCTTCATTTGCAGATGAAGACAGACTAGGATGAAGGACGAGGGAGTCGACTTCAGAGGGATTAGTCACTGAAGGCTCTCTGAATAGCAGTGGACCACTGCCTGATACAGTGCCAGAAGACGAGCCCTCAGGCTAGAAGGCACTCGGAATATGACTCAGGGAGCGCTTCCACCTCTAAGGAGAGTCAGCCTGAATGGTGTGGGTGGAGCAGCTTTCAGGGTCTCCTTCTGCTGATGGGGCATGACTCAAATGAGCTACAAACATCCATCAATAATTAGGTTGGATGAACACGAAAAAAACAATCCGTGTAATTCATCATATAAATACAGCAAAAGGACCATATGATGATATCAATTGATGCAGAAAAGGTATTTGACAAAATCCAACACTAATGTTTACAACGCACAATGAAATCAGAGTCGAAGGGCAATTACTCAGACTAATGAAGGCCACACACACAAAACCAACAGCAAGCATTTCATTCAATGGGGAGAAACGGAAAGCATTCTGCTCTTATTTAATAGAGTCCTGGTGGTCTCAGCCAGAGCTGCTAGACAACAAAAAGAAATCAAGGGCATCCACATTGACAAAGGAGAAGTAAAACCCTCTCAGTTTGCAGATGGTAGAATTTTATGTGTAGAAAACACCAATGTTGGCAGGCTGCAACTAGTTGATTTCCTGGCAGGCTGCAGGGTCAGCATGTGAAAATCAATAGGCTCCAATATACTAAGGAAAAGAACTCTGAAATGGAAATTGATAAAACCATACTATTTACAATAACCACCCAAAAGACTTGGAAAAGGAAGCTACAAAACACTACTACAGGAAATCAAGAGACTTATTCTATAAATGGAAGACTATCCCTTGTTCATGGGTAGGAAGACTTAATTTTGTAAAAATGTTGGCTGTAGTGAAACACTCAAGAGAAGGTCCTCTCTAGTTTCTCGACAGAGGAAGAAGACAAAACAAGTTTGTTTGTTTTTTAATGATGGCAAAGGTATCCAAATTCTTCAAGCAGGCCTGGTTTACTGACAATAAAGAGC